AGTGGTTTTTTTACACTCAGTATCTGAGAGCAAATATCAGCTTAAGCTGGCTCTGAATTCAAAGTGTGTCTCATGCTGTTGAATAAAAACAGAAACCTTGACTCAGTTACTGAGATCGATGTATGTAAATCTTTTAAATCAATATGAAATACCACAGTAAGCCAAAGAAGAATCAAGGAAAAGCTATGTCTAATCAAATACTATCCAGTGAATCAAATAATTAAAGATTTTTTTTTGCATCCCTAAATTCTACAGCTTGATCAAATGGCATGAAATATTTAAAAATATATTGTGAAAATTATTCTGACCTAGCATATGTCCCCTCTTTTTCTGAGATTAAAAACAGAACTATGTCATGACCCAGTTGCTGATATATATTCCAGTATGATTCAGTTTGATAGATCCATTCCCCAAAGTGAAAGTATGGACTAATATTTCTGTGTTTCTTGCTCAAGCCTGTGTATATTTGGAGAGTTTTTATAAAGACACGGAAGACTTCCTGCCAGATGGCAAATTAGAAAATAAAATGCAGCATTTTTTCTTTATATTTAAATCTACAGTAATTATTGAAGTAACTCATGAGCAACCATTCATGACCAGAAGTAATAATGTTTTACAATCTACTATGTGCCAAATGTGACAAGATTCTTCCATAAGTACTCACATGAAGCTGGAAAGATCAGTGGAGTTGCATCATATGGTAAAATTATTTTTTTATCCAAGCATTTAATTGCATAGCAAAGCAAACTTATACAGAGAAAGCCATCTCAGAGTAGCTTAGACTGAGGGCCACCACATTTTCCACAATTATTTTCAGTTTCCTGAAAACTCCTAGTGTATTGATCTACACTTAAAAAGAAATTGATTGCAATACCCTGTTGAGCTGGGTGTTAGAGAGGCTGGAGCATCAGTTTTCATCCCACACTCTCAGTAGATGTAATCACTGACACATCTTAATACTAGAAAACAACATGGGCATGCAGATATCTAGCATTTGGGGGAAAAAAATCATAAACCATTATAAGGCAGAGGGAATTCTCACCTTGGCCATGCACAAATATTACTGGTAGGAGATAGAGCAAGAAAGGCCAAAGAAACGTAGGGAGTGAGGCTGTGGCTTTGAAAGGAAAAATAAATAGAGACAATCATGGGAGATCAGCTACAACTGGAACAGGCCTGGAGAATTCACTCACTGGGCTCTCTGTTTAACTTAAGGAAAAGTACATCAATTTAATGATACTTGGATTAGACAAAACTAAATGCTCATCTAAAACTAGATGAAACTTTTAGTGTTTTCTTTCTTTGCAAAACTATTAGGTAAAAATAATTTAAGAAGGACTTCTACTGGCATATTCATGGCTATGTATTCTGAAAGAACTGCAAATGTGCAAATTCAGTCATATCTCACAATGTGATAAGGGGTGATGTGCACTGCATAATCTGTCCAGGTTTTTTGTTGAAGAACAGATGGATCACAAGATCACATTCTCGGAAAGGAGCTGAGTATCTTAGGTGATAAAAAAGGAAACTTTTCCATCTACCCCTTCAGAATATTTTATTCTGAAACAAAATCTAAGTTCAGACAGAATTTCTAGTCTTACCATGATCTACTATGACCTGTTCCTCTGCATAGTGAAGAAATAAGCTATCAAATTACAATATCAATTTAGATTAATTTATAAGGACATTTTAATTTCTTAATTTAAAAAATTTGCCTTGAAGGGTGAAATCACCTCATCTCATTGACAGAATCATGGTTCAATTTATATGTATAAGCTTAATTTTATTCACCATGCAAGGCATTTGAAGGGTTCCAGAAAAGCAGAGTATTTCACCAGCTGGGTGGTGAATTTGGTCATAGAATACATAGATGCACCCAAGTTTTACATGTCTACCTAGCAAAGTCCATCTTCTAAGTAAACATTTAGGAAAGACAAACACATAAAGTGCTCTGTGGAACTCTCTGGCTTTGCAAAATCAACTTTGCAGCATTGTTTTGTTTCTCAGTAATCTCTCACTTTTGGCTTGTGTTTTGCCTTATAAAACAGATTGTGTCCTAAACCAGCAAGCTGAAGCATGGAAGTGTGTTGGAAAATAAACACAGTCCAGGGGATTTACCAAAAGTCAATTTGTTTCACTTACATATTCTGTATTCTGAATTGCCCTCTTATTTTTTAAGACCTACCCTGCTAGTAGAATTGTAAAAGATAACATCCCAACATATAAAAGATTGTTATACATGTTGCAATAGCCAATATATGGAAATAAGAAACCAGCAGAGATACTACATCCAGTGATAAAATCATAGACCCTGGTCTTCTTCTATTACTGGCTACTCAGTTTGAGAAGATCTACCCAACAGCTGACAAACAAGAATTTAAACTCATATTTTCTTGGTCCTTTGGGCATTATTATAACTCATTTACTTTTATGTTTTTCAGTTTATAATCAGCTTTATAAATTGAGCAGTTCATGGTCTGAGAGAGCACAAACTGTTCACTCTAGTACTGCTTACCAAGTTTTATTGTGGTTTCTGGTCTCGTTCTGTCTAATCTGGGACAACCACACCAAACAAAACTATAAAACTCTACTGAAAAAAAAATGGGTAGCTAAAAAGATTGATAGCAAAATCACAATACTCCATTCCTGAATATAAATTCTGACTATAACCCACAAAAGAACAAAAGGCATTCTTGCAGGAATTCAACTGACGAATTATTTTAGTAGTAGAGTAATCATTCTTGTCTGTAGTCCTCAATTAACGTTAACTGTAAGAAAAAGCTTATTAGGAATATTTAAATTTTAAAGTCCCCCTGTGCAAGCATATCTGAATTCCCAGAAGCTAGATACAGTGCAAAGTGTATTAATTAAAATACCGCTCTGGGAGATCCTTCTTTATCCAGTGTTCATTATTAACATGAAAGATAGTGGAAAGGTTTTGATTTTTTTATAAAGATTTTAGTCATTGTGACAGGGATTCAAATGGTGAAAAAGAGCATTTGAAATGTTAATGAAATTCTGATCATTTTACAGGACTTAGTAGTTTTTTGACACTTCCATCCCAAAGAAATTATTTGCACTGCTTCGCAAAAACCAGGGGCAAGGTATTGTCAAAACTCTGGATCCCGGAGTCTTTTTCTAAAATGACTGAAGATTTGGAAAAGTACAGTGTAGGGATTTTTCTATATTGATATATACAGGTAGACATATTTATTCCACAGCTCCTCTTGGCCTGTCTAAACTGCTTATAAGATTCATAGCCCATTTCCAACAGCAAACCCCCTTTATTTGGAGTGACTGTTGGACATATGAGTATTTCTAAATGTCAGAGCTATTTGCATTACATTTTACCAAATATATCCTTTACCTTTCCAGGCATCTCTCACACAAGAGTGGTTACATGACAAACAGGGCTTACACACAGGAAATGAGTTGAATTTATTTTTGCCAGTCAGGCTGTGCCAGTCATAAGCATCCACCGATCACAAACAAGCAAAAAGACAACTTTACATCTCAGCAGTACACCTGGGACCTGTGAGGACCATCCTCCAGTCCTTCTGCAAGAGGCCTTGACAGATTCTGGCAGAAAGATTTGGTGTCACTTTGCTTCCCTAAGTTTTGAAATTCAGGACATTTTCAAATCTTAGACCATGACTCCATGTCTCTAGGCACTTGAAAATGACTGACTTATGCAACCAATGATCTAGACAAACCTGTAACTTTTATCTATGCCCACAAACCATAGGGAAAATGGATTTTTCTAATATATCACAAACTCACCATTTATCTCTTGCAACTTATCCCTGTGGGCAGACTCCTTTTTTTACCAACAAAAAATAAAAACCTGTCCCTTTACTGGCCAGCAGAAGGAGACCTGAGTATTTTTGGAAACTGTCAATGTTAGGTGGTCTCTCTACACACCTGCTTAATATCTGAGCAAACCTCAGACTGACTTTTACCTCTCTTCTTTGGAACTTCTGGAGTTTGGGCACGGGTGAGCATGGCTGGGCTAGTGTTTGTATTTCAATTCTTTGAAAAAAGTTCGAGTCAGGAATTTATAGATTTTGGATTTAGGGCTGTGTTTTCCTGATTCTTCTCAGAAACACTCAGGACTCTGAACATTCAGGATGGAAGCTGCTCAGGCTGCTTTACTTTTTAGAGGCAAAAATTTCTATCATCATTGCTGACTCCACAAAACAACTGATATGGAAGAGGAGCTAAATATATACTAGTGCCTACAGGCTTACCATAGCATAGCAAATGTAACCTAAGATGTATTCATAGAAACATTCCCAGCAGAGGCAAAGAGGTCTCAGTGATGTGATAAGATCACCTCTCTGGGACAGTTTAAGATTCTGATCAGACATGAAATATGAACTAACATGGAATAAGGGTACCATAATAAATAAAGGGTACCATGGTGGCTATGGAAATGGAAAGCATAGCTTCTGAAGTCAGTGCAGAAGAGCTCTATTTTGTTTAGGCTGACAAGCCAAATACTGAAACAGAATGGATGCTAGTTCCCTATAAACGTATAAAAGAGATAAACAATAAAATACATAAGCCATAAATAAATGTTGGCACAAGTATACATGATGCTAACTAGCAATTAATAAATTTAGCATGTGGTTTGAAAAAAAAATCCTAAATATTATAGGAATATCATTGCATCAAACATTGAGTTTGGCAGAGTAGGTCTACAGAAGGAAAATATGGGCTTGGGTTTTTTTTCAGTATGAAGGTGAATTTGTGAAGGCATTCATATAGCACAGTGGCTGTGATCACAGAGGACTTGTCCCCTGCTCCCCACACAGACACCACAGTTAAAAGACAGCTCCTGTTCAGCATCAGGATCCTTTAAAGTGGGCAGTCCACTGTTACAGTTGCACAACTCATGTTCAGACACCAGCCACAAGAGCCAAAAGAACCTTTTAGTTTTTCAGCAGAATCCTGCTCTGAGGCAGATATTGGTGATTCACTTGTCTCTTACCCTGGAACAGATGATACTTTGGCCAGGCAGATCCCGTAGACCATATCAACAACAGGGACAAATCTCTACAGACTGTGCCAGGGAAGTTGACAGTTACCTCAGATGTGAACACCACACTGAGACACTTGAAGGTAGGTGGCCTGAAGTTATTATGCCCCTGTTATATATTTATGCCCCTGCTTTTAACAAAAAAAACCCCTGAAATTTCAAAGAGAAACAATAAATAAAACCAAACAAAATGCACCTCTAATAGGAAACCCTTCACTAAACTGAGAACATCTCTCCTCTGGTTTTGAATTTGCAATCCACATATGGAAATATCATGAAAGGAAGTGCACTTCTGATCCACTATCCAAATGGTAAGTTTATCAGGAAATGCCTGCTAGCTATAGGCTTATTTAAGTTCTGTGTCAAAGATTTAGAGTATCATTTAGAACTTTGCAACTTGGTAGCAAACTAGTTACTTCTGGCATGGCCTGTAATTTTATAAGCATAAACTCTAGAGACCAAAGGCAAATCTGAAATGTACTTTTTACTAAATTCACTGGAAAAAATTGCAGCTGGAACTACCATATGTACCCATGCTTTTGGTCTCAAACTATGATTTTAATCATATATTAGTCATGATTTACATGCTGACTGTTTAGCATGAAGCATCTGGATCTATTTGTTCTGCGCTAAGGGGATGCAGAAACAACATGACCATAATCTCCAATTTAATGTAGTTTTAATGTATTTGTTTCTTTGTGTTGCATTCACAGATGTGCTGTGATAAGGAGAGTAATTGAGATTCTATGGACAAGTGAATCTGTACCAACCAACTTGTCTAACATAAGAAGAGAAATTATTTGCATGTGCCTGTAAAGACAGCAGTAATTTCTATAAGATTTATTGTACTTTAGAAAAACTTTATTAGTTGCTCACGGCATATTGCCACAAGAAAGACAAATAAAAGATCTTAGGAACTAATTCTAAAATAATGGCTTGAAAAAAGAAATACTGAAATGCTTTGGTTGCTAAAAATGTGGAGACCTTTTGTAAAATAATCAGAAAAATTTCCATATGTATCAAGCATTATTTATATTTACTAGCCAACGGCAATTTAGCAGCACTATTTTCCAAAAACATCCATACTCAAATGTTATCCTGTAGCAGGAGATTCCATCAAGATAACTAATCTTTTATTAGCATCTCTTTCAGTTAAGAAAATAAGGGGGGGAAAGGGTGCATTGTCTGCAATTGTTTTCAGGGCATGAACCTGAAAACATTTTTTTTCGCTGTTTTTCCTGTAGTCGCCCTAGTTTTCTCATTAGCAAGGGGACACCCAGTAAGGCCACACATCAGCGCCCATCTGTGCAGCTGCTGGGTGCTGAGGGTGGAGGGGCCCTGACACCATCCGAGTTGCTGCCCATATCCATCCAGAGACGCTGGATGCTTTGCCGACTACACGATTATTTCTCCTGATGTGCTTCGCTTTGGTCTTCGTGTTCAGGGAGGGTCTTGGAGTCTCCCTCTCTGGAGAAATTAAAAATCCACCTGGACTCGTTCCTGTTTCACCTGCTCTAGGTGATCCTGCCTTGGCAGGGGTTTGGACAGGATGATCCCCAGAGGTCTCTTCCACCCTAACGATTCTGTGATCCTGTATTTCATGGAAGGAGATCGCTGATCACAGCATAATCTCAACGAATGGGCTTCAGGACGCGTCATATCGCACCTGAGTCAGAACACGCCTGATTTTTGCAGGGAGATGCCCGGACCCAGTGCCCTGCTCCCTTGAGAGCCCAACCAGGGCGCAGCCTAAGGGCGGGTGACATCTCCCGGGCCCGGCGAGGCGGAGCGGGGCTGGCCACCTCCGTACCGGGCAGCGGGCGGGGCGCAGCGGGGCCGCCGAGCGGAGCGGGGTTCGCGATCCCCTCAGCGGGCGGGGCGGTGCCGGGCAGAGGCAGAGGCCGCCCTCCCGCCGGGGCCGTGGCCGCCGCCCGCCTGCCCGCCCGGCCAATGGGAGCGGCGGTTGTTGGCGGGCCGGGCGGTGGCGGCGTTGCCACAGCAGCGGCGGTCGGAAACCGAGCCCAGCCCGAGACGGCGGTCGGGGCGCGCCATGGAGGGGCTGGAAGGTGAGCGGCAGCGGCGGGGCCGGGGCAGCCGGCGGGCTCCCGGGGCCGGGCGGGTCCTTCGTGCTGCGGCCGGGGCGTGCTCTGGGCGGTGGCGGCGGTGGGAGCGGGGCCCGGGCGCCGCCTTGCCCGTTCTCGGAGCCCCCGCGGCCGGGAGTGCTGGGGGCGGCGGGGCTGAGGCGGGCGAGCGCCGCGGGAGGGGCAGCGGGCAGAGGCGGGAGGCGGCGGGGCCGGGCGGCGGCAGGAGCGGGCTCCCCGCGCTTTGTCTCCCCGCCGCTCCGCTCCCGCAGCGGCCCCGCCGGCCCCTCCCTGCGGCGGCCGCGCTCCGAGCCCGCTCGCCGGGGCCCTGCGGGCTGGGCTGGGTGCGGCGCAGCGTACGGGCATCTCTGCCAGGAGCCCGTGGTTGTTTTTCTTTTTGCTAACAGATGGCTAAGGTGGGTGTTAAGATCCGCTTATCGTGCTAGGGAAATGTTCGGTGCGGTGAAGAAAACTAGGTATGAATTTGCTGACAGGGTATTTTCAACTTTAGCCTGTGCCGGTTCAATTAATGGAAACGTTCTTGCTCTCCGAAATGATAACATCATTTTCATCGATGGTGTTATCCATCACAACACGGATATCGGCTTGGAATTCATGAAGTTACAGCTTGCAATCTGAGCATTTTTGTAGGCCTGTCATTGCTGCATTTTGCAAGCTGCTTTAACCATACTACTTTAAAAAATACCTGTTCTGAAAAACAATACAACACAGTCATTAAGTCTTCCATGCTCTACTTCTCTAGAGGTAACTGAGTGCTTAAATAGGAGTAAGCACAAACTAGCCTTTGTTCTTTATCCCTTCTAGAACAGTTGGAGAACTGAAGTAATTTTCACAGAATACCTGTGTTCTGTCTTTAGTAGATTTTACAGTAATCAGACTCTGCTCTTGAGCCTAGTGACTTCATCAAGACTCTAAATTTGGACATAACTTGGCATTAAAATCCCAAGAGCTTTCTTTGATTTGCTTGGCATTCTTTGCTGACTATTAATGCCTTTGAAATTTGAAACATGGTGTCCAGTGTTTATCAAATAATACCTTATCAGGCATTCCAGCTCTCAGGACAATGGTATGTTACCTCTCCAGAAGGGGAGAGCTTGTCTTAATTGAGTAAGCTGTGCATTTGACTACATTTGAGACTGTTCATCATTTGCAGCACATCTATCAATTGATTTGGCTGTGTGCTAATTTACCAAGACCAGCTATGCTTGCTGTGTTATGTAAGCTCTAGCACTTTAATTACAGGGGTATCTACAGATAACAGCAGAATCCTGAAAAAACTTGTGATTTTTTTCATAAAATTTGTCCAGTTCCTGACTTTGTTGGAAATGGCTTGTATCTTGTTTGTATTTCAGAAGGTACTGGGAGTGGAGGGAACTACTAAATCATAGGTGAAGTTTCATGTTTTACTTAACCTTTTCTTGAAAGTACTTTCAAAAGCTAGAGCTTGTCAAAGCATTTTTTCCCTCATGTGAAATTATTCTTCTGAATGCTTGAGATTAATTTCAGACTATCACAGGATATAAGTTATGTCTAAAACTCCAGTTATTCTTGCCTTGTGCACACTCATATTTCACACTGTTATCCACTGTCCTTGAATGCAGAAGTTTTTGAAACTGAAGAACAACTTTTTGCATTTTTATGGGTCATTTTATGCAATGTTTTTATTTTTTTACAACCACCACAAAATAAAATACTTCTCTTTCTGCTTCAAAACATTTGAAGCAAGTGGGTTTGCTTATATTTACAGTTTTTCAGTTTAGGCTGTCTCCGTTCATGTATATTAGCTTAGGCTCAGATTAAGTTTTTGTAGAAAGGTTCCCCTAGGACAGAAGAAATGTAAGCAAAGCCAATAACAACAATAATAAATTATTTCATTGGATATTACACTTTTATTCAGTCATTGCTCCATTGGCGACTCAGAAGAACGTTGCTGGTTGCCATCTTGGATTAAATTTATATTTGGATGTGCAATTGCACAGTCATACCCATCTGACATAGAGGTATGGGCAGCTTCTGAAATCTGGCTCAGCCTGCTTCCTCATTATATTAGTGCTTAGTAATGTCATTTCCCAGAGCTGGCTGGTGCAGTAGGTGCTTGGCCGCTGTGCATGCAAGGGTCCTGGTCATGGGGAAGGGCAGGGCTTTGTTGACAGCAATCTCTTGGTGTGTCTGTGATGGTGGCAGACCCTCAGGCTCAAGATGCTTGTCCTGGACTTCCCAACCTCAGAAAGGTGCTGGTGCTTTCATTTTGTTGAGGATCAGCATTACAGATGAGAGATCTGTTTTACTTCGGTTTATATAAGCATGCTATTAATAAGAAAGAGCTCTACCCAGTTTATAATGATCTTTCCAAAAAGTGGAGAGATGAATGTGTAATGGTTGGCATGTGGAGCTGCATTAATGACATTTAAAAAGCTAAATAATATTTTCAGTGTCACAGTTGCATTTTCTCACTCTTGCAAGTTTAAATGTTCTGTGAAATGGCAAAGTGTGTTTCTATGTCACTTTAAAGTTCCTTCTAAAATTTACTTTTGTTGCTCCTTTAAGGCTGTTGCTCTATTAGGTTATTTTTTATCAGTATTGTTATATTACTAGATTGAGTCAAATTTGTACCTTTAAAGGTTTGTAAAAGTAATGAATGCATACTTCTCATTACAGATGACAAATCTGATATTAAGTCTAAAGTCGCTACCTCAACATTTGTTACTTTGCAGCTTGCATGCTGTTTGGCTGGTTTTTAATTTTCATTTAATTTACTGATGAAAATAGAGCCTCAGAGTGGATCTGTCTGACAATGTAGTGATCACTAAGGTGAGCTTAAAAATCCGTTCATGAGTAGTTCACCACGTGGTGAATCTCTGGACCGTTTTTGATGGATTAACATGTTCTTGTTGCTTTCACTGCTGGATGTCAGGAAAAGCAGTCACACTGGCGTGTTTGTTGCTCTCTGTTTTGCTTGAGTGAGATGGAACCAAGCACTGAATTCCTGACTTCATTTAAACCAGAGCAGTCCAATGGTGATGTTTGATCCGCTCCTCTCCAGTCTGTTGCTTTTTCTGGGAGGATGCCGACAGCAGCTGCTTGAGCCAACTAAATGCTGCTTCCCACACTTGTTCACAGCCCATCCCAGCCTAAGGAATAAGGGCCAGAGGGGCTGCTGTGTCCGAGGGCAGAAGGAATAAGGGGCAGAGGGGCTGCTGTGTCCGAGGGCAGAAGGAATAAGGGGCAGAGGGGCTGCTGTGTCCGAGGGCAGAAGGAATAAGGGGCAGAGGGGCTGCTGTGCCTGAGGGCAGAAGGAATAAGGGGCAGAGGGGCTGCTGTGCCTGAGGGCAGAAGGAATAAGGGGCAGAGGGGCTGCTGTGTCCGAGGGCAGAAGGAATAAGGGGCAGAGGGGCTGCTGTGTCCGAGGGCAGAAGGAATAAGGGGCAGAGGGGCTGCTGTGTCCGAGGGCAGAAGGAATAAGGGGCAGAGGGGCTGCTGTGCCTGAGGGCAGAAGGAATAAGGGGCAGAGGGGCTGCTGTGTCCGAGGGCAGAAGGAATAAGGGGCAGAGGGACAGCTGTGTCCGAGGGCAGAAGGAATGAGGGGCAGAGGGACAGCTCTGTCCGAGGGCAGAAGGAATGAGGGGCAGAGGGACAGCTCTGTCCGAGGGCAGAAGCCCACCTCTCTGTGGTAGGTGATGGCAGCGTTTGCCCAGCCCCAGCTTGAGCAGCCAGGGAGGGCTGGTTGTGGTTGGAAGGGCCTGGCTGGCTGCTGCCTTAGGAAATCGCCTGCAGTTTCAAACCCAGAGCTTTCCCTTGCTCATCTGCATAGGGACTGCACCCTGAGCAGTCTGGGTGTGTCCTCGAGGTCTCTCTGTACAGCATCTTCTGCTGAGAGCTGGGGTCTGCACTGTGACAGCAGTTGTCCCTGGACCCTTTCCTGGCATGGGGAATGTCTGAGATGCCCTGCTCCACCCCTAACAGCACAAGATAGAGATCTTGGGAATTTTATGTTAGTAACGTGACTCTTGAGAGCAAGTGCTTATTCTTGCTTTGTCAGAATTTCTGAATGCCCAAGCTTATTTTTTTCCTTAATAGTGTAGAAAATTATTGGTTTTTAAAACAAAAGTAATATTAATGTGAGTGTTCTTTTCCTTTTAGAGTTGATCTCTGTCTGCCTCACTGGATCCATGCAGCAGCTTCCTTACTTTGGTGGCCATTTTCTTTAGCTCCATTTGACTTCAGAATTCAGCTTTTATTTTTTTTAATAGGTGTGTCATTTGCCCAACAGAAGAAAGAATTTGTTTTGTTGTACACTGTTCTTAAATCAGCAGCTTGGAAACTATTAAAGATTGAAATGCAAAACTGATATTAATGTACACAATTTTTAATAAGTTTTTTTAAATAAGTTATTTGTCTCTGTTAGCCATTAAAACACAAAGATAAATGTGTGTGCACTGAACTGATCCTTCACTGGACATACTTGAATCTCAGTTAAGTGATCTGAATTTGACATTTAGCACTCTATAACTGGTCAAGTTATTTACTCTTTTTAAAGCCATCATGTTTTTATTTTTTAAATTAATAGTTATTTTACTTAAGGCAAAATCCCAAAAGCTAGTTTAGGCTGATACAATATGGATAAGTGCACTACCAGAATATGTTTCACCTTTAAAGGAGAGGAAGTAGACAGGAATGTGTGTAGACAGGAATTTGAATGTTTCAGATTAGTTTCTTCAGTATCTTAGAAGTAATAGATTTTATGCCCTTTTCTATAGTTTTTTTAGATTTCTTGTATTTTTAACTTAAATTGCAGAAGCTAGATTGATCTACTAATTGACTTCAATTGGTTGAATACAGTGGAAAGATGAACATGTTTTACCTGCACAAAACATGGTGTGGTTGTCATCAAAAGCAGGTCTCAGTGAAACCTGGTTTCGGGAGTATGGTAAGCACTTAACTGGAGCAGCTGAGGAGTGGCCTTA